TCTGGGCAGGACCAAAAGATTGGCACAATCTACGATTTTTGTACGAAGAAAATCTTAAGAGAATATTCTGCCTGTAAGTGTTAATCAAAGCCTATTTAAGACTCAGCCCCCGTGTTCTTGTGCTTTATTTAGTAACAGTGTTAAGTGGTGGTAACTATGAAAGTGTGTACTTAACTGGGGTAGGAAAATTATATGCGATGAGGATTTTTTTTTTTTTTTTTGAGACAGAGAGATCTTCTTTCTGCTGATTCATTCCCCAAATGCCCACAACAGCTAGAGCTGGGTCAGGTCAAAGCAAGGAGCTGGGAACTCAATTCAGGTCTCCCAAGTGGGTGGCAGGCACCCTACCATCTGTGCCATCAGCCGCTGCCCCCAGGGTGTGTGTTAGTAGGAAGCTGGAATTGTGAGTGTAGGCAACACTCACACTCAAACACTCCCAGGTGGAGTCAGGTGTCTCCAGCACCCAGGGGGGTATTTTTTTCAGGAGACGGTGGACTGAGTTTATAATTGTCCATAATGCTTGGTGCCAGCCTGCTGGGGCAGGGACACTGGAAGATCAGGGTCCACCAGGGCCTTAGCTCACATTGTTTTGCTTGCAAATTGCACAACATTCCGAGGGGATTGCTCTGCCCTCGTGTTTACAATTTGGTTAAAGAGTCAGCCCTTACACCCAGGTTATTCAACACACACATACACAACGGTGGTCATGGCAACAGCAAGGCGCCTCTGGGTTGGACGCTCTCAAATCAGTTAGCAACTTGGGATCCGCAAGACTGTAGGAAGACGCCGTTTTTCCCACACTTGCTCAGAGAGAGAAAGCAAGGGTCTAGCGTTCATAGCGAGGGAGGTGGGCCTCATTGCGCTCCGGGTGCTGGAGCTGCACACCTGTCCCCAGCTGCTTTGGGTTAAGACTTTATCAGGCCCCGTCTCTCTTCGTTAGTTTGCAGTTCCTCTGTTTTCCCTGTGGTGTTACAAGGCAACTCCTTATTAAAGATTAACTCGCTCAATTAGGGGAGCGCTCCAAGGATCAGGCTGGCCCCACAGGGCCACGGATGGCAAGGCTCGGAATTTAGCGTCCATGCCAGACTCTATTTTGAGATGTTTTACAGGATCTCCGAGCTTTGATCAAAACAGATCTGCCAATGTTACCCAGTGCTCAGTTTCCCTATTTAAGAGGGAGGTAACAGTCAGTGCATCCCCTGGCCAGGAGACGGGCTCACCTTGACTCCTGCGTCGTCAGGGTCCAGTTAAAAGAGAAACCCCACACCAGCTGTGTTCACAGAGCACATTTATCGTACGGATGGCAAAGGGAAAACGGAAGTGCCAAGGAAACAGAAGTGGCAACCCAAGGAAGCAGTTGGCCCCTTGGGGTGGGGGTGGGGGGTTGACTAAGGGATGGGGTGGGAGTTCCTGGAACCCCGGAGCGCAGACCTCCGAGGAAGGAGCGGTAACTGCTGTGCTGGCATCCTTGCGGGATATAATCAAGGCAAGCTGAAAACGTGAACCAAACTCAGCCGCCTGGGAAAAAGCTGTTGGCGCCTGACACTTTAGGCACAGGAAGCAAACTGCAGAAAGCAAGCCCTGTGTCCCTCCTCCACCTCCCCTGTCCCCGGCTTCCTCTAGCGCCACCTCTTGGTGGGTCCAAACGAGGGGCAGCTGGCAAAGCAGAAAGCCGTTTGTGGAATCCCGGCCCTGACAGCCCCAGGAAACAAACAAAAGCATCCACACGGCAGGTGTGTGTGTGTGATCACGCGCACGTGTTACTGTAACGCCGTGAAGGGCATTCTTGTACATGTTGATGCCTTGTGCACCCAACAACTTCGGATCTGCAGGGCTGTAGAAAGACACCAGGGGCAGTGTGGTGCACACTTACTGGATTTAACTTACACTTATTAACCGCTCCGGTTGGGTGTGGTACGGTGTCTCATAATTTCAATTTGCATTTTTCACTACTAATGAAGTTGAGCATTGTTTTCCGTTTGCATATCCTCTCTAGAGAAGTGCTGGAGAAACCTGCTGGCCTCTTTGCTGTTAAGTTGTTGACCTCACTGGTCTGTGAGGAGTTCTGGTACTTTCTTGATGCAGGTTGTTTTTTTTTTTAAGATGTATTTATTTATTTGAAAGTCAGAGTTACACAGAGAGAGAAGGAGAGGCAGAGGCAGAGAGAGAGACAGAGAGGTCTTCCATCTGCTGGTTCATTCCCCAATTGGCCGCAAAGGCTAGAGCTCTGCCGATCCGAAGCCAGGAGCCAGGAGCTTCTTCCGGGTCTCCCACGTGGGTGCAGGGGCCCAAGGACTTGCTTTCCCAGGCCATAGCAGAAAGCTGGATCAGAAGTGGAGCAGCTGGGTCTCAAACTGGTGCAGGTTCTTTTGATTACATTGATTTATGATGGTTTTACTTAACTTTGAATCTTTGACTTTATGATGGCGTGGAAGTGATGTGCATTAAGGAGAAAATGTGACTTGGAAATTTGAATTTCAATCATTTCCTGAGCTAGTGAGTTAAGTACAGGCCATTTCCGTTTCCGCTCCTGGACAGCATTGGTCACTGTGGCTTCTGGTCAGCCAAGTGAACTTGACAGGAAACGATCGCAATCAGTGGGTTAGCGGTATACAATGCATTTTGAAAGGTTGGTTTATTTATTTGAAAGACAGAGTGAAGGGGGGGGGAGAGAAAGAGAGAGAGAGAGAGAGATGGAGAGATTTTCAATTTGCTGGCTCACTCCACAAATGGCCACAGTGACACGAGCTGGGCCAGGCAGAAGCCAGAAACCTGGAACTCCATCCTGGTCTCCCACATGGGTGGCAGGGCCTGCCCTGGCCCCTGGATCAAATCTTTTTGCTAATTTTTCAAAGGTTCGAAAGCTCAGTTGCCTTTGCCACGTGCAAGGTCCCAGCCTGTTCGAAGGAGCAGGCTCTGAGACCCTTCGGTCCTCCTGTCCCCTCCGGCACCTCGCAGGCCGGCAGCTGGGAGCAGCATCTGCAGGCTACTCCTTAGCCCCCAAGCGGCTGTCCTGCGGCGCCACCCATGGCCAGGCTGCGGAAGCTGAGCCGGGTCACAGGCGCACACCTCGCTTCCCCCAGCCAGCCAAGCGCAGCACAGAGCGGAGGTGGACGAGCAGTCCCGTCCGGGAGGTTAATGTTCCACCCTGGGCTTCTCAGGCCACGCTCCAGGGCGGCTCGCCAGGTGGCCTAGAGGAACGAGGAGGAGCCGGGGGCGGCGACGCTGGGGACTCTGCAGCCTGGGTGGAGGGACCTTGCCCTTCAGGGCCGTGGGTGGGGGTACTGGGCTGCCCACGGAGACCTAGTCTGGGGGTGGGGGTAGCTGGGACCTCCTGGGCCCTAGGGAAAGCAGAGGGCCACTCTGGGTATCTGGATATATCTACATATCTCAGGACCATTTACCCAGTGCTGCCCAAACTGCTGGCCCTCCTGCCCTTGTCCTGGCAGAAGCGGCTGCACTGCACAAGCCACTGCCAGGTAGAACTGCTGACCCCGGAGCTCCGGCCTTCCCTTCCCTGCGTGGTGCCCCCTGCTGGCCAGTACCTTCCCTGCCTTTCTCTCCCTCTCCCCTCTCCCCTCTGATGTCTGGGGCCTGCCCTTACTTCTGCCCACAGGGCCATAATGTTTGGGGTGCAGAAGGACCCCAGGCCGCTCTGCCCTCCTCCTCCTCTTCTCCGTGCTCCCCACGCTGTGCTCCTCTGTGCTCCCCTCCAGCAGGCATCAAAGCAGGACCTCGCGCCTTCTCAGCAGAATCCTTCCCACCCCTTATCCTATTCACCAGCTCCGCCCCCTCTGCTCTGCGTGCTCCCCAGGACCTCCCTGTGGACATGGAGCTGTTTCCAGAGAAGATGAGGAATGGGGCGCTGACTCTGGCCAGCCCAGCCCACGTCCTCCAGGACGGCGCCCCGAGAGGTGGACTGGGGACTCAGCCATGGCCCTCACTGCTCTGCACCCCTACACCGAGTCCCCGAGTCCTGTGTGTAAGACCAGGGCAGCGCACTGGGGCTGCCTGGGCAGGGGGTGGAGCTGTCCCAGCACAGAGAGGAGGGGCCGGGGGAGGGGCTTTGTTGACTATCACCAGAATATTCTAGAGCGCGGATTCTAACGAGTTTGGCTCAGGACCCTTGGCAGAGCTTTTGCCTATGTAGCAGATATCTATTGATAGTCACACATCAGAAATTAAAATAGAGAATGTTTAGAAGGCTGATTTAAAAATAGCACTAACAGGCCGGCCCCACGGCTCAATAGGCTAATCCTCCACCTAGCGGCGTCGGCACACCGGGTTCTAGTCCCGGTTGGGGCGCCGGATTCTGTGCCAGTTGCCCCTCTTCCAGGCCAGCTCTCTGCTGTGGCCCGGGAAGGCAGTGGAGGATGGCCCAAGTACTTGGGCCCTGCACCCCATGGGAGACCAGGATAAGCACCTGGCTCCTGGCTCCTGCCATCGGATCAGCGTGGTGCGCCGGCCGCAGCACGCCAGCCGTGGTGGCCATTGGAGGGTGAACCAATGGCAAAGGAAGACCTTTCTCTCTGTCTCTCTCTCTCACTATCCACTCTGCCTGTCAAAAAAAAAAAAAAAAAAAAAAAGAATGATTAAAAAAAATAGCACTAATGAACCCATTGTACGTAACCGTATGTAACGTTTGTATGGAAAATAATTGCTTTCCCTACAGGAAAGAGATGATAGTGAGACAGGCGGTGCTGTCTGTCGCACTTGACATCTGGGGTCTTGCCCTGCCTCCACGTTCCATCTGCTGTCACGGCACATGTCACGTGGCTTCCGCAACTCGGTCAGGAGAGAATGAGTGAAAAAGACAGAGTGTCATTGTGTCATGAAACTGATTCTGGTCACGTAGGCACCGTTGGGGCAGGGAGCCCCAGGATTCCAGCTCCACGCCTGGAATACCGCACACCTCGGGGCCCCCAGGACACACTCCGGGCTTCTCAGCTTCCGTCTCAGAGGCATCAGGAAGGCAGCCACAGACAACATTTCACAAAGCGTGTGGCTGCTTCCCAGTGACTTTATTTACAAAATTAGGAAGGAAGGGCTGCATTTGGCTCAGTGGCCCTAGCTCCCCTCTCGTGGATCCAGAACAGAAGTTTGCTGGGGCCAGGCACAGCCAGTATTGTGAAGCAGAGGTGCCAGCATCCCACGTCCGAGCACCAGTTCAAGTCCCAGCTGATCCACTTCTGATCCAGCTCCCTGCTATGCACTTGGGAAAGCAGCAGAAGATGGCCCAAGTGCTTGGGCCCCACACATACGTGGGAGACCTGGATGGAGTGCCTGCACCTGTCCCGGCAGCTGGGGTAAGAACCAGCGTGTGGAAGATCTCTCTGTCACTCTGCCTTGCAAATAAAGTCAAATAAAGCTTAACAAGGGACAAGCTTGCTGGGGTCCTGGGCTTAGGGCTCGTGCCACAGAAGGGAGAGAGCAGTGCCATCCGAGTCCTAGCCAGGCTAGGCGCTCCCAGAACTTCTCCGTCTTCATGTCTTTAGCTCCCCAGTTGCTAACATCCACAGCCTCCACCATGATTGTGCCCCTTGGTATCCTCAAGGGCTCACTCTCGGGGTCCCTGCCCATGCTGAACCCCGCGGGAGCTCACGAGTTTCTCTGTAAAATGCTGTAGTATTAGCACGTCAACTACGCAATCTTTGTGTAGCCTTTAGAGTATGTACAAGACCTAATACCAGGTAAACACTGTGCACATAGTTGTTACACTGCATTATTTAGGGGATAGCAACAAGAAAAATGTCTGTATGTATGGCTTTTCCTCATGTTTTCCGTCTGTGGTTGGTGGAACCTGCGGATGTGGAACCCTTGGACGGATACCGAGGGCGCTGGACTTAGACGTCCCTCCGCCAGCCCTGCTTCTCCCACAGCTCCTTCTCAGCCTCCGCTCTGGCCTCTTGCTGCTATTGGAAAGCACAGGCACGGGGCCGGTGCTGTGGTGTAGCGGGTAAAGCTGCCGCCTGATGCTGGCATCCCATGTGGGTGCCGGTTCAAGTCCCAGCTATTCCACTTCCAATTCCACTCCCTGCTAATGTACTTGGGAAAGCAGCAGAAGATGGGCCAAGTGTTTGAGCCCCTACCACCCACATGGGAGACCTAGCTTTGGCCTGGCCCGGCCCTGGCTGTTGCGGCCATCTGGGGAGTGAACCAGTGGATGGAAGCTATCCCTCTCTTTCTCTGTCTCTCCCTTTCTCTCTCTCTCTGGAACTCTGACTTTCAAGTAAATAATAAATAAATCTTTAAAACAGGGGGGGGGAAAGGCAAGCACAGGCACTTCCGGCGCTGGAGGCGGCAGCAGGGAATCTTCCTCCCCATCCCCACCCTGAGTCCTGGGCACGTGGGGCGGCGGCAGGGGCGCGTGAGGGTGGAGCAGCCTCGCCCCGCCTCCTGAGCCAGCCCACGTCCTGTGTTCACCTCCCTGCTCCTGGTGCCTTGTGGGACTTCTCACCCACACGCCCTCGGGCCTGAAACTCTGCCTCCTCCCTGCTCCCGATGGCTCTCAGCCACCCCCGTACCTCCCAGCCATCTTCTTCCTCTGCTGCTCCTGGTTCTGGTCTGCTCCTGGGTCCAAGTCTCCAGCCCCAAGGTCAGGACTGACCTGTCAGAGAGGGAGAGGCCCCATCCCTCCCCTGGCTGTTCCCACGCATCCCCTGAGCCTTCCCTCGGCTAGCCCTGTCCCCTGCCAGCCCCTCCGCTCCCTGGCCTGACTGCTGGGTGCTGTCCAGCTGAGGGAGACAGTCTCAGTATCCCACGGGACTGTCCTGGGTATAAGGAAAGCACAGTGCCTGGCTTGGCTCTGCCTTTGCCCCCACAGCTTCATCCCTTGCCTGCCTTCCTGGTCTTCCCCACCAGGGTCACGTGGCCAACTCCTCACCCCAGGACCCCGAGGTTACCGGGCAAGGGCTTGAGTCCGGCCAGGGTGGGGCAGGGCAAGCTCAGTCGTCGGGAACCCGCAGCACAACCCTGCCGAAGTCAGCTTTGCTGCCATCCGGGGAGGGACTCTCGCTCGGCTCCTCTTCCGGCCACCCTCGAGCTCCACCCGAGGACGCGCGACTCGGCTTTAAAAATAGAACGCTCGCGCTGGACTTTTATGGTCTTGTGGAGAGCACTGTGCTTGTGCCCTCCCACACCTGGTCTCTGCCCCTGCCTGGCCCCGAGTAGCGGCCCGGAGCGGCTCTGCACAAGCTCGCCAGCAGTGCTCCGCCGACGGCTCCCGGCAGATTTACGAGTTCGGCCTTGGCTGAAGCCTGCTCCGCATGGCTGCCCGCCACGGTCCAGCTGCTCTCCCACGTCCCGTGCAGCGCGGGGCCGGGACGTGCCGTGTCTCCTGTTCTACCCCCGACCCAGCTCGCTGCTGAGTCACCCTGGCCAGCCCCCACCCTCGCTCACACTCACGACTGATGAGGGTTTGTATCTGAGGGTGGCCAGGTGGGGACTCCAGGCGCTGAAATTGAAGGAAAAGGCGGTTCCTTCCGGGCCTGGAGCTCAAGGCCAGTTTGAGTTCACCCCAGTGTGTGTAGACTATGATTAGTTCTCGTATTATTGTTCAGGGAAGAGAGAAAACCCTTAAGGCTCCATCTCATTGCTGGCACCCCTGGCAGGACCCAGGGTGGCGATGCCCTCAGGAGGAGCTGGCCCCAGGGAGCTGCTCTGTACATGGGTGGTCAAAGTGACTCCACAGTCAGCGAAGCACAGGCAGCCACCTTCAAGGAGCCTGCCTGGCCCTGGCCTTGAGGTTGGGTCCTAATGCAATGGGAAGAGAAGACTGTGACCATCATCCCCTGGAAAAGACTCGCCTTCTACGTTCAAGGCCCTTCATGAGGGCGTCATGGAGCCTCCCAGGATCCTTCCTGGGCCAGGCCTGACATTGCTTGGGTCAGTTACAGATGAGCTGCCTCTGGGAGAAGAACCTCTGTGTAGGTGGCTGGGCCGATCCACAAGCGCCCCTGGGGACCAGAAGGCAATAGCGCGAGCTTTATGGCCTAACCCCAGACAAACCCAAGTGCAGAAGGGAGGGAGGGGGCGGGGCCAGAGAGCGGGCAATGCTGTGCCGGCCCAGACACGGCTCTCCTGAGCTCCCACTCCTCACCCGTGGGACGCAAGCGTCTGGAGGGACCGGGAGAAAGTACATTCTCTTCTTAGGCTTCACGACCCCAGCCCAGGGTTCTTCACACTTGCAGCGGCCAAGAACCTCTGAGGCCCTCAGGCTTTCCCAGGAGCACCTGGGGCTGCTGCCAGACCAGCCCCTCCTTCTGTTCCTGTCTTCTTGTCTGTGCAGGTCTGTAGGAGCTGGAGGCCAGGAGAGCGAGGGATGATGTTGGTACCCAGCTGCGAGCCCACTCAGATGCCTTCGTGCCTCACTGCCCTGAAGCTGCCACAGAAGAGCCATTGGGAAGTCCCTTCCCGGTGTCGAGGGCGGGGGTCTCCATCCTGTGCTCCCTGGGAACTCCCCACCGTGGCAGTGCCCGCTGCACCTGCCGCTGCGACTTGGGAGCTGAGGTTGAGTCAGATCCGACGGCTGAGGTCCCAGTGAAGACAGGGAGGGTCTGGTGGGAAATCCAGGTCCCTCCGTGAGAGTCGCCGTCCCGGAGAGCAAAGCAAGTGTGACGCTCATTTGTCACCAAGAGCTGGCGGGAGTGGCTTGGTGGAAAGGCCAACCTCTGCCTCTTCAGAGTCTTGGGACCGCACTTGCACATCCTTCATCCTGGGGCTGCAGGTGGCGGCTGGGGTGGCGTCCAGGCCGGAACACCCCAGGCCTCCAGCATAGAGACGTGAGCGCATGGGCCACTTCTGCAAGACACGGGTGGGACTTGCCTTCCAGAATCTCACACTGAGCCCCGGCCTCCCCTCACCCCTGCCCGACACCCTCCACCTTCCTCCTGCTCTGTTAGCAGCGGTCTCACCGCCACATGCGGCCTCCAGAGCCTGCCCGAGGGGCACAGGAGAAGCCATCTGGGGAGAGCCAGGGCCCCCAGAGGAGAAACCCTCCCCTGGGATGGGAGGTCAGGCACCCTGGACAGAGGTGGCAACAGCCAAGGGCTGGGCAGTGGGCACCACGGAAGAGCTGTGCCAATCTCCCTCCAGGCTGGGGACTTCCACGACCGGCAGGAGTGTGGCCAGTCCCGGAAGTCCTCGCGCTGACTCTGTCCTGGGGTCTGCTCTTGTCTCCAGCAACCCTCCCCCTGGTGGGGGGGGGGGCACAGCACGATGACATTTAGGACGTAAGTATCCTCAAAAACATAAATGTGACCCCATTACTCTGTCACCCTCAGAGGACAGAGTGTGCGCCTCTGCCAGCTCCTTCCAGCTCCAGCCTGGGGCCTGCCTGGTGGCTGCGAGCGAGTCGGACGGCCCTGGGTTCAAAGCACACCCAGCCGTCACCCCCCTAAGCTGCAGCTTCTCTGTAAAGTGACCTTCGTTTGGTCCTCTCACTGGGGGGAAAACACACTGACGCACCCAGCCCCGCTCCTGGCGTGTGCTCAGCTCTCAGGGGATGGGGCGGTTCCTCTGAGGGTGGTCATTGTCAGGGATGCTTTTCCTCCATAACCCCACGCCGAGCTGTGCCCTGGAGGGGAAGGAAGGCTCGTGCAAGCTTCCGTTTTGCTTGTAATAAAACTGAGGTTCTGGAAAGCCGGGCTGTGGCCTGCAGGCCGTGCACGCGGGAAGCCCCAGCTCCTGCCCAGCCCCCACCCCTCACTGCCGCCCCCTGCCTGCTTGGCTGCTTCTAGAATGCTGCTGTTTTGGGCTGCCGCCCTCCTGGAGGGCAGATCTGCAGGGCAGCATAGAGGCAGGTGGGGCACCGTGGGTGACGCTGCGCAGGGACCTGGGGCTATGCTGGGGGCCACTCCCTTGGCCAGGCCCCAGCCCTACAACCTGCTCCTTTTTAGTTTTTTTCTGCCTTACCACCAAGCACCCTCCAGAGTGTTTTCCTCCTCGTGGGGGACCCACATTCCCGTGAAGCCATTTCCAGCCGCCACTCCACGAGAAACGCAGGGTCAACCCCACCCAGGGAGCCAGCCCCAACATCGCTCCCTGTGAGACGGCGGGAAGAAGCTGGCCCAGTGTCAGCTCTGCCCAGGCCTGGGGGCCAGGTCCAGTGTCCCCTCCCAGCCCCCAAGGTGCTCAATATCAGAACGCCTTCCCTCCCCCTCCCATGACCTACCTTGAGAGGGTGCAAGTAGCGGAGTCCGCGCAGGAACGGCGGCCAGGCGGGGCCGGGCAGCTCGTGCCCCAGCGTGCGCGTGAGGTGGGCGATGTAGCTGGTGGCCAGCACCAGCACATCCAACTTGGAGAGCTTGGTGTCGGGAGGCACGGCAGGCAGAGCAGCCTGCAGGGCCAGGAAGGCCTGGCGCAGGGTCCTCACCCGGCTCCGCTCCCGTGCCGCGTTCTCGGGGCTCGCCTCGCTCTGCTGGGGGCGGAGGTCCTGTGAGTGGGTCTGACCCCCCGGACCCTCACCCGCCTCCAACCTCTAGGAGACAGGGTGTCCTCCTGGATGGAGTGCAGAGGGCCCCGGTCATTGCAGCTGAGAGGAGGCCTGGCTTGGGGACAGACGGCAGGTCGATACCAAAGCTTGGCTTAGAACCTGAGAGAGTCCTGAGTTCTCTCGGCTATGCCACCAACGCTGCGTCCCATACCCGAGTGTGAATCCTGGTTCTCAGAGTACCCTCAGGGCCGCGTGGAGCCCCACGATCGGGGGCCAACCCTTGACCCAGCCAGCTCCTGAGCTAAACAGGCTGTGGTGGTGCAGAGGAGAGGGCTCTGAGCGGTGCTGAGACACAGGCTGAAGTCCCTCCCCGTCCCTGATGCTGCTGGGGACCATGGGACGGTCACGTCCTTCCTCCCAGCCTCAGTTTCCCCAGCAGCAGGGAGTTGAGCCAGTGAGTGATAGGCTCAGCTGTGCTCTGGTTAACGGCAGCTCTGATGTGTCCCAACCTCTCCAAGCATGGCGCTGTGGGGACGGGTCCCCACTCTTGGTCAGGAATGAAGAGACTGGCCTACCTGCCCCCCCACCCCAGCCCCAGCCTCCCCCAGCTCCCCTCGGTAGGCCCAGGATTTGCTTACCCTGCCTCGAGCCCGGCCCCCTGCCCTGGCACCTCGAGGGTTGGGGGCGGCCCAGCCCCAGCTTTGGGTGTTCCAGTTGGTCTCTTCCCATGGGTCCTGCCTTGTCCTGCAGAGGCGGCTCCTCCTCTTCTCGGCGGTGCCTGGCAGCCCCCGCGCTCTGGCCTTAGCCCGGCCATGCCCTGCGCCTGGCGTGGCTGGTGCCTCTCTGGCCTCCCTCTGTGACATGCCACCCCCCAGGCTATGCAGGCTGCAGCCCACCGAGCAAGACCACAGTGCCCGGGGGAGCACTAGCTGGGGCGGCAGCCAGCCATGCAGCCGGCAATGTCTACATCCGAGGAAGCCAGCGCCAACTCCGTCCTGCTCAGTCCTTGCTCTGGGAAAACTGCCCACCAGGCACAGCCCCCGCAAAAAGCCTCCGCCCACCTCCCAACCCAGAGCAGTGGTGGGGGCGCCGCATGCTGGGAGTGGCCAGCCCTGGGCCGAGGGCCATGCTGAGGAAGGCCAGAGGGCGGGTGGGAAGGGAGCACCCTCCTGGGCTGTGCTGGACCCAACAGTGGTCCGCAGTGGGCCTAGGGCTTCAGTTTTGGGGCCCAGGTCCGTGGAGGGGCCCTGTGCACACATCCCCGAAAGGCCTCTCCTTCCTTGCCAATGAACATGACCTTCAACGCCACAGGAAGCTTCTCCCCATCCCCTGGATGTGTGTCCCATGTCCAACCCAGGGCTTTTCCTTTACCCTCCCCTGCCCTTGAACAGCTGCCCCAGCCCTGCCAGGGCTGTGCCGTCAGATTATGCCCTTCACTCACGAGGCCTTGGTCAAACCCCACAGACCCACCCCCAGCCCCCGTGTCCCAGTTGGATTGGTGGCACTGCAGCTCGGCTGGTTTCTGCCCAGCTCTGTGCCCCTAGAGCACTGTGTGCCAGGCACTGTGCTAAACACTTCCTGTGCGTTGTCTTGCTTCTTTCTCAGGGTGAGCTTATGAGAGAGTTGAGTTAGAGGGGGGCACGTATCCAGACGTGAGACAGCTTACCCAGTGTCAAACCTTGGGAAGTGATGGGGAGGGATGAGAACCCAGACAGGCAGCGGGACGGGAGGCTCCCCCATCCTAGGAGAGTGTGCCACACGTCTGTCCCCACGGGGTCTTTGAAGGCAAGGGACCGCGACGTTTGCACGGCCTCCTCCACACAGCGAGTCAGGAGGGAGGCAGAATGCGTAACCACTGGGCCACAACAGCCCCTGCCTGCCCTCAAATCACAGCCTGTGCTTACAGCACAATCCATCTTCCACGTCCCTTGTCCCCCGGTCTTGAGCTCCAGGACAGACAGAAGAATTAAAGAGAAAACACAAACGCAGGTGTTCACAGTGAGAGAGTCCCCGAGCCAGCCAGAGAGAAAGGGGAAAAGGGGGAGGAGGGACTACGACCTGGAGGCGGTGTCAGCACAGCCCCAGGAGCTCCTGGGGAGGGCCCGCCAGGCCCAGGTGGCCAGGGCTGGGACTGACATGGGTCTGAGCACCTCCAGGAGCCGGCATGCGGCGCACGCACCAAGATCCCTCAGCTGGGGAGGAAGCACGAAGAACACCTCTGGCAGACCCTGCTGGCTCCGGAAGAGAAGGCAGCCCGGGAAGAGGAGGGCCTCTTGGCCATTCTGGACGGGCGGGCTCGGCCCAGATGGGAGAAGACAAGAGCCCCTTGCAGTGTAGGCACGGACGGACGGCCTGGCAGACGAGAGCTGCGGCGGTTGCTTCAGCTGGAGCCACAGGCACTGCAGGGCAGTGTCGGAGGCTTTGGGGGAAGGCGCTGCTCTCCCAGACTTGTCTTCCGTAGCGGCCTCCAGAGCCCTGCTGGAAGGGACACAAGAACACTGAGAGACGTCTTTCCAGCAGTCAGCTCTGTTTGCAATAAAGCCCTAGACCCTGACAAAACAAGCAAACAGCCTGGCTGAATTCAATAAATATTTGCTGTCTCCATACTGTGGAGTAATGTGCAGTCATAAAAAGAATAACACCGACCTCTGTACAGAGACATCAAAAACTTCCCCAGATACGTGGCTTAGTGAAAACGCTTACCGTAGGTCAATATGCACAACAAGATCCCAGTCAAGTAAAAAACACCAAAGAACGGGGGTGGGTATTCGGTATGGTTGTGTTGAGGTGCTGTTCGGGACAGCTGCATCCCATATTGGAGGGCCTGGTTTGAGTCCTGGTTCTGCTTCCAATCCAGATTCCTGCTAATACACAACTTGGGAGGCAGCAGACGATGGCTCAGGTGCTTGGGAGACTGGGATGAGTTCCTGGCTTCTGGCTTTGGCCTGGTCTACCTTTGGTTCTTGTGGGCACTGTGGAAGCTATCTCTCTCTGCCTTTCAAATAAACTGAAAATAAATAATTTATGCCCCACCCATAAAAGACGCAAGCATAAAGGTTTATGTTACATGAGAATGAGGAGATGCATACCACGCATTTTTTTTTTTTGACTAGTGGACAGTGAGAGAGAGATAGGTCTTCCTTTTTTTGCTGTTGGTTCACCCTCCAATGGCCGCCACAGCCGGTGTGCTGTGGCTGGCGCATCGCGCCAATCCAAAGCCTTTGCATTGTTAAATTCCAGATGTAGAGAATTTTTTTTTTTGACAGGCAGAGTTAGACAGTGAGAGAGACAGAGAGAATGGTCTTTCTTCCATTTGTTCACCCCTCAAATGGCTGCTACAGCCGCTGTGCCGACCCGAAGCCAGGAGCCAGGTGCTTCCTCCTGGTCTCCCATGCGGGTGCAGGGCCCAAGCACTTGGGACATCCTCCACTGCCTTCCCGGGCCACAGCAGAGAGCTGGCCTGGAAGAGAAGCAACCAGGACAGAATCTGTCGCCCCAACCGGGACTAGAACCCGGGGTGCCGGCGGCACAGGTGGAGGATTAGCTTAGGAAACTGTGGCGCCGGCCCAGATGTAGAGAATTTACACGCACCTTGACCCAGGGCCCATGGCCATCTTTGGTACACACAGAGCCTGTGGTCAGCCTGCCCTCGACCTCCACCCCCACCCCGCCCACTTCCTTCCTTCAGTTCCCTTTCCTCCCATCCCATGATTCTCCCCAGTCGCAAGTGACAAGTCCATGCAGGTGACAAGTCCACGGTGCTTGATACGTATTCTTTTGTCCGTAGGTGCGACGGTTTTAAAATGCATCCACATGTTCTTTGATAGCTCCAGCATTCAAAAGGTGGCACCCAATCGCTCTCCCCCAGAATGTGGGCCTGACTTGGTGACTTGCATTGAACAAACAGAAGGTGGCAGGTGTGTCAGGGTGCATCATGGGAAGCCAGGTTACAGAAGACGTGCAGGCGTCCCCTCTGCTGTCTCGCCCCTGGAGCTGCCCTGTGGAGGCACACAGGTTGCCCTTGAGAGGCCCGCGTGGTGATGGAGGAGGTGTCTGACAGACAGCACGAAGCTGCGAGCCAGCCCGGAAATGGATCCCCCAGTCCCATCTGTGCTGTCGGCTGGCTGACCGCTAGAGTGGAACTCGTGAGAGACCCTGAGCCGGCCACCCAGCTGAGCTGCTCCCACCCACAGACTTCCTGACCCATGGAAGCCATGTTAGACAAGCAATGCTTATTGTTGCATAAGTTAGGGAGTGATGTGCTGAGCAGCGATGGACAGTGGCAGTGATGTGTGTTACTGAAGCATGCACCCTGTGGCAGGAATGAACCGGAAATGTGCACAGTTGGTGCCTTTATGTTTGTTACTTCCCTTTCTTGCTGCTAACCGTGGCAGAGTACGCCATGGTGATGCCCACTACCTGCTGACTACTCAGAGGCCCGGGCAGGGGCATCCAGATGGCCTGCAACCCTGACAAGGCTGCCGTGGGTGTCCTGGGCTCCCAGAGTGAGATGCTGGGCTAACCGTCCAGAGTGGCTGCAGAGCCTGCACACCCAGCGGCAGCACTGCCCGGCACAGCGGTGCGAGCCAGACCTCCAGTGTGCAGTCAAATCTCCACGATGGGCGTCTGTTGTGGTTTTAGTTTGCCCTTCGGATTTCTGATGAGCCGGAACATCCCTGGTGCGCGGTGCTGGGTTCAGGTTGCTTGTTTTTTTCTCCACATGTGACCCCGTTTTACTTTCTCTACAGAGTTTCCCAGACGTCATCTACTGAACCCCCCGTCTTCTCCCGGTGCAGTCAGAGCTCCCACTAAGTCGTCTAGGAGTTGCCTTAGTTGTACCTAGGTCAGATCGTGAGCTCCCGTCTATTCTTGATCCTTTTGTCAGTATCAGATCCAATAGTCAATATCACACTGCTCTGATTACGATGACTTCATAGTCTGCATATTTCGAAGGGACTGCTTTTTTTTTTTTTTTTTTTGGACAGGCAGAGTTAGACAGTGAGAGAGAGAGAGACAGAGAGAAAGGTCTTCCTTTTTCTGTTGGTTCACCCCCCAAATGGCCGTCACGGCCTGCGCACTGCGCCGACCCAAAGCCAGGAGCCAGGTGCTTCCTCTTGGTCTCCCATGCAGGTGCAGGGCCCAAGCACTTGGGCCATCCTCCACTGCCTTTCTGGGCCACAGCAGAGAGCTGGACTGGAAGAGGGGCAACCGGGACAGAATCTGGCGCCCCAACCGGGGCTAGAACCCGGGGTGCCGGTGCCGCAGGCGGAGGATTAGCCAAGTGAGCCGTGGCGCCGGCGAGACTTCCTTCTTAACTTATTTTTTATACTTACTTATTTTTAAAGATTGATTGATTTATTTGAAAGTCAGAGTTACAGAGAGAGGAAGAGAGACATGGATCCTGCACCCACATGTTCACTCCTCAGGTAGCTGCAACAGCCAGGACTTGGTCAGGCCAAAGCCAGGTGCCAGGAGCTTCTTCTGGGTCTCCCACGTGGGTAGCAGGGCCCAAGCACTTGGGCCATCTTCCACTGCTTTCCCAGGCCATTAGCAGGGAGCTGGATAGGAAGAGGAGCAGCTGGGACTTGAACCGGCACCAATATAGGGATGCCGGCACCACAGGTGGTGACTTTACTCTCTGTGCCACAGTGCTAGTCCCAACTTTATTTTTTAAAGATTGATTTAGTTATTTCTAAATTTCTATTTCTTGTTTTTCCACATAGATTTTAGAAACTGTTCACTGAATGACTAAAAAAATTCAGCTGAAATTTTTGATATTTCATTGAATGCATGAGTAATTTTTGGGGATGTTGCCAACTTTGTACTTTTAAGATAATTGTTCCAAAAACATGGGATGTCTCTCCTCTTATTCCAGTCACCTTCTATATCCTTTATTAGTTTGTAGTTTACTCCACTAATGTATATGTATTCCTGCTTAAGTGAATCACTCAGTAGTTGATGATCTTTGTTGTTCTTGCAGATGCTAACCTTTTTTTTTTTTTTTTTAAAGACTATCCTAGCCGTTATTGTGGTGTAGCAGGTATAGCCGCCCCTGGATCGAGTCCCGGATGTTCCACTTCCAATCCTGCTCCCTGCCAATGACCTCATAATCTGGGACATAGGCCGGGTGCCGAGTATTGGTCTAACTCCTGGAAGCTGGGCCTCGTGGCTTCCTCCACGGCCTGTAATACAGATGATGGCAAGTTCTCCTCCTCTGGGTCCTGCTTCAGCACCGCACCATCAATCTCCACATTGGCAGGCCCAGAAGAAGCCTGTGCAGGTCCCGTCTGGACAGGACTGGCTGCACACAGAGGACTGGAGATGGAGTGATGCCAACCAGGATCATCATTATGCCAGAACTTGGGGACTGTCATCTACACTTGGAACAACAAACTCTTGGACACTGTGTAAGTTGGGGTTCCTTTGAAAAAGAAGGTACTTGGCAAGCCCAGGATTCACCTGCATGGCCATGGGGTTGGTGAGAAGGGACAAGAAGGAGCCTTCTCCCTGCTGCCAGGACATGCACTCACACTTCTCTTAGCTCCCAGGTGCTGGAGAGGCTCTGGAAGCTTCACCACCTCCAGTCCCAAATGGAGGTCCTCTCTTATTTTATTTTTATTTTTTATTTTTGACAGGCAGAGTGGACAGTAAGAAAGAGAGACAGAGAGAAAGGTCTTCCTTTGCCGTTGGTTCACCCTCCAATGGCCGCCGCCGTGGCCGGCGCATCGTGCTGATCTGAAGGCAGGAGCCAGGTGCTTCTCCTGGTCTCCCATGGGGTGCAGGGCCCAAGTACTTGGGCCATCCTCCACTGCACTCCCGGGCCACAGCAGAGAGCTGGCCTGGAAGAGGGGCAACCGGGACAGAATCCGGCGCCCTGACCGGGACTAGAACCCGGTGTGCCGGTGCCGCTAGGTGGAGGATTAGCCTATTGAGCCGCGGCGCCGGCCCAGCCCTCTCTTATTTTTAAGTCTCTGCTGTCCCTGACCTATTAGAAATATACCTAATCAATCTTTTCAAAGAGTAGCCTTTGGTTTGGTTGATATTCTAAATTCTTTTTCTAAACATCATTTATGTATAACATTCTGGTAAAACATACATGACTTAAAGTCTGCCATCGTAGCCATTTTTAAATGTACAGTTCGGCCGGCACCGCGGCTCACTAGGCTAATCCTCCGCCTTGCAGCGCCGGCACACCAGGTTCTAGTCCCGGTTGGGGCACTGGATTCTGTCCCGGTTGCCCCTCTTCCAGGCCAGCTCTCTGCTGTGGCCCAGGAAGGCAGTGGAGGATGGCCCAAGTACTTGGGCCCTGCACCCCATGGGAGACCAGGAAAAGCACCTGGCTCCTGGCTCCTGCCATCGGATCAGCGCGGTGCGCCGGCCACAGCGTGCCGGCCGCAGCGGCCATTGGAGGGTGAACCAACGGCAAAGGAAGACCTTTCTCTCTGTCTCTCTCTCTCTCTCTCACTGTCCACTCTGCCTGTCAAAAAAAAAAAAAAGTACAGTTCAATAGCTTTTGTACATCCACAGGGTTGTGCAACCACCACTGCCAGCCATCCAAACACTTCATCTTGCAAAAATGAAACTGTGTGCCCATCAGACAGCGGCATTGTTCTGAAAGGGCGCTTTGTGCAATGGATTTTGAGTGTTTCTACCGAGACGAATGCAGCCAACTCCTTCTGCTGACATTAGAGTTGACCGTCTACTTGATTAGACAGTCAGTCCCTACTTCACACAATTTCCCTTGTTTGGAGACCACGCATCAGGTGTCCTTCGGACTCCCAGGCAGGTCTGCAACATAATTGGAGACTGTTGATGATGCTGAAAGCAGTTAAATCAGTCCCTGCAACGATGACTTCGCGTGAGACATACAAAATGTGACTGCTGACTACACTTTGACTTTCCAAATAGCCAGGCTAAATAGAAAATATGCTAATCATTTCCTGTCTGTGTGAGCAACTTTTAAACGGGTGAATTTATAAGCTGGCATTCTGGGGCTTACCTCAGGCTGTGGTGTTTTAGTTGGCATGGTCAAGGGCGCATTTCTAACTCTGGAAAGTGAGAGGCCAGGTACAATTGCTGCTGTGGTCTGAGTGTCTCCAGTGTTGGAAGTCTTCACGTGTTGGAAGTCCAGTCTCCAGTGCAACACTGTTGAGAGGCGGGACCTTTAAGAGGTGATAGGTCACGAGGCCTCACCTCACGGATGGTTCATGTCGCTATTGCAGGAGTGGGTCTGCAACAAAGATGAACCCAGTTCTCTCTCTCCCACTGTTTGGTGGCATAGCAAAGCAAGAAGGCCCTCGCTGGCTGTGAATCCCTTGACCTCGGTTCTCCCATCCTCCAGAATGGTGAGAAGAGAATCTTTGTAAGTTGCCCAGGCTCAGGCACTCTTACAGCAACGGAGAGCAGGCAGAGACAGCCGCCTTCCCTGGTGATAGTGCATACGCCACTCCCAGACGCTGCGTGTTCTCCACGAGTTGTCTGACTTGAACCCACTCCAACCATTGTGGTCGCACGTTTCCTTTCTAAGCATTCTCACGCTCTGTTTAATTATCCTGTTGAAGATGCTGGCAAACAACTGGGAGTTTACTGGTTTGGGATTCTGGAATCTCTCTCTTGTCCCTTTTTGAATATTTACCTATCTGCGGCCGTCTGGCACCCTTGTTAGAGTCCCGATTCCTCCAAGGTACTCAGGGTGGCTCTTCCCAGCCCCTCTGTTCGTATTATAATGTGCAACCCAAACAGAACATAAAAAGCAGAGTGGCCAAGGTCAAATTCTCCTAGGCAACCACGGTGTCCCCATCCGCTCACAAGCATTTGCAGGTCTCTAGGTCACGCGAGCTGCATAGCATTGGGCAGAACTAGAACACAGTGTTCTGAGGTCTACAGCTGGAGGCCGCGGAGGTGGGAAGAGTGGCTGCTAGCTCACTTCTACAACAGGAAACAGCAAACCCAAACAGTTTCATTACAAGCTCTCGTCTATATCCTGGATGCCAAATACTTAGACAACTTCTCATTGATCAACAAAGTTTTACCAAACATTAAGAGGGGAAGTGGTCAGTGCAAATTGGAGGACAACTTTCACTAGAACTGTGAGGGTTTTCTCCTTCTGACACGTCTGACACCAAACGCAGGATGTTTCCTGACACCTCTCCCCCCATTCTCTAGATGCTAAATGGGTGCCCAATGACTCAACTCCAACGCCATCTACTTGGAGTTGGCCTCAGATCCCATAAATGAAAGGGGCTCTCGCACACGGATGGCCTCCATTTCAGGTACCAGCTGCACCTAGACTTCTGAACAACCGGCTATAATCCAGTGGCTCCCCTGCTGCCCCTCTAAGGTTTCATGAGTTGCCAGAACAGCTCACAGAATTCAAGAACACATCTTACTGACACCTGCCAGTTGATCACAGTGGGTGCTACTCAGGAACAGCCACGTGGAAGGAAAGAGACAAGAGGTACAGGCGTCTATGTCTCTCTGGGCAACCATCCTCCCAGCACCTAAACACGTTCACTAACCCAGAAGCTCACTGAACCCCACTCTTTGGGTGTTTTTGGGAGATTTCATTCCATAGGCGTGGTGCATTAAATTGTCGGCCATTGGCGAGTGAACACAATCTCAGGCCTCTCTCTCCTCCCTGGAGTGTGGGCGACAGCTCAGTTTCACATCTGTAATCACATGGTTGGTTCCCTGGGTCCAACTCCCCATCCTTTGGGGTCTTCAGATCCCTAGGAAAATACAAATGCTTTTTTAAAAGGATTCAAGTTCTAGAATTATCAGTCGTCCCAGTTTATGAGACTGTCTTGGTATTTTTTTTAAGATTTATTTTCAAAGAGCTACAGAGAGAGAAGGGAGAGAGAGAGAGAGAGAGAGAGAATCTTCCATCTACTGGTTCACACCGTTGGTGGCCCCAACATCCAGCGCTGGGACAGACTGAAGCCAGGAGCTGGGAGCTTTATCTGGGTCTCCCACACAGGTGGCAGGGGCCCAAACACTTAGGTCATCTTCCACTGCCTTCCTCAGGCCATTAGTAGAGAGCTGGCTCAGAAGTGGAGCCGGTGGGACATGAACTGGCACCCATATGGGATGCCGGCACTGCAGGCAGCAGCTTTACCCACTACACCACATGTCAGCCCTGAGACCACATTGGTTTTAACACTGAAAATCCTGTGTCCCAGGAAACCTCAGCTCTCCAAAACCAGGCCTCAATATCCATACTCCTTCCTAAACCTGCTGTGCCTGAAATCCTGCCTGGTTCTCCTTTCCCACCAAAGGTCCCCCTCTCCTATCATATGTAGGCCATATCTTACCCATTCCTGATTTTATTATGATGAATTGCCCTGAAAGAGAGAGATAATTACAAATACTGATATTACTTAACAAAAATCCACTCAAAATGGATTAAACACCTAAATTTATGACCTGATGCCATCAGATTAATAGAGAACATTGGGGAAAACCTGCAAGCCATTGGGTAGGCAAAGAGTTCTTGGAAAAGACCCCAGAGAAAGAGGCAGTCAAAGCCAAAACTGACAAATGGGATCACATCAAATTGAGAAGCTTCCGCACTGCAGAAGAAACACGCAACAAAGTGAAGAGCCCGGGCCGGCGCCGTGGCTCACTTGGTTAATCCTCTGTTTGTGGAGCCAGCATCCCATATGGACGCCGGGTTCTAGTCCTGGTTGCTCCTCTTCCAGTCCAGCTCTCTGCTGTGGCCTGGGAAGGCAGTGGAGGATGGCCCAAGTGCTTGGGCCCTGCACCCCATGGGAGACCAGGAGAAAGCACCTGGCTCCTGGCTTCAGATCGGCGCAGCGCTAGCCGTACAGCCATTTGTCTATAACTCTACCTGTCAAATAAAAAAAAAGTGAAGAGCCCAATGACAGAATGGGAGAAATTATTTGCAAATTATGGAGCTGATAAAGGATTAATAACTATAATATATAAAGAGCTCAAGAAACTCAAAAATGAAAAACACCCAGTGAGACATGGGCAAAGGACTTAAACAGGCATTTTTCAAAAGAAATCCAAATGGCCAGTAGACACATGAAAAAAAATGCTCAGGATCACTAGCCATCAGGGAAATGCAAATCAAAATGACAATGAGGTTTCACCTCACCCTTGTTAGAATAGCTTTCATACAGAAATCAACAATGTGGCCAGCACTGTAGAATATCAGGCAAAGCCACTGCCTGTAGCACCAGCATCCCATACGGGTGCTGGTTTGAGACCCAGCTGCTCTGCTTCTGATCCAGCTCTCTGCTATGGCCTGAGAAAGCAGTAGAAGACAGTCCAAGTGCTTGGGCCCCTGCACCCACGTGGGAGACCCAGAGAAGGATTCTGGCTCCTGGTTCCCAGCTCCTGGCTTTGGATGGGCCTAGCTCCAGCCATTGCAGCCATTTGGGGAGTGAAACAGTGGATGGAAAATCTCTCTCTCTCTCTCTTTGCTTCTGCCTCTTTGTAATCCTGACTTCCAAATCAATAAATGAATATTTTAAAATAATCAACAAACAACAAATACTGGTGAGGAAGTGGGGAAAAAGGTACCTTAAACCACTGATGGTAGGAATGTAAGCTGGTGCAGCCATATGCAAGACAGTATGGAGATACTGCAGAAATCTGAATACAGACCTACCATATGACCCAGCCATCCCACTCCTGGGAATTTACCCAGGGGAAATGAAATTATCATATGAAAGAGTTATCTGTACCTTATATTTACTGCAGCTCAACTCACAATAGCTAAGATATGGAATCAACCCAAATGCCTGTCAACTGAAGACTAGATAAAGAAATTATGGGATATATTCACCACAGAACACTTTACAGCAGTAAACAAAACTGAAATCTTGTCATTTGCAACAAAATGGATGAAACTGGAAAACATCATTCTTAGTGGAATAAGCCAGTCCCAAAAGGACAAATACCATATGTTCTCCCTGATCTACAATAACTAACAGAGCACCCAAAAGGTAATCTATAGGAGTGAAATTAACTTCAAGATGCAATGGCTTTGAACAGCCCTTGGCTTGACTGTCGAGGAACAGTTTTTTTCAAACAATTTGTTGAATTCTTTACTTACAAGTTAATCTTATATGTATAAAGTTAATTGAAAATAGATCTTAGTAAAAAGTAAGAGTGGGAATAGGAGAGGGAGGAGGAAGAGGGGTGGGAGGGTGGGTACAATGGGAATAATCACTATGTTCCTAAAGTTGTATTTATGAAAAGCCATGACATTTGTATTCCTTAAATAAATGATTTCTGGGGGAAAAAAAGAGAGAAAGATCTCATATAACCTAACCTGCCTGAGGAAATCAGAAAGAGAAAAAGCTAAACTCAGAGCAATCAGAGAGAAGGTAGGATGACCATTAGAACAGAAATAAATGAAGTAGAAAACAGAAAAATTAATAAAACCACAAACTGGTTCTTTGGAAAGAACAACGAAAGTGGCCAAACTTTAGTTAGATTGACCAAGAATAAAGGAGCGATGACTCAAATTACTAAAACAAGGGATAAGAAAGAGGACGTCACTCATGGTCAGATATAAAAACAAAGGAATACAGGGGATTCTGGGAACAACCATATGCTGACAAAGATAGATAATGTGGATGAAACAGAATCTATTAGACAGACATGAATTACCAAACTGACTCAAGAAGATATAGGAGGAGGCCGGCACTTTGTGGTGCAGCGGGTTAAAGCCCTGGCCTGAAGCGCCAGCATTCCATATGGGTGCTGGTTCAAGACCTGGCTACTCCTCTTCCAATCCAGCTCTCTGCTATGGCCTTGGAAAGCAGTAGAAGATGGCCCAAATCCTTGGGCCCCTGCACCCACGTTGGAGACCTGGAAGAAGCTCCTGGCTCCTGATTTCAGATCAGCACAGTTCTGGCCATTGCATCCATTTGGGGAATAAACCAGTGGGTGGAGGATCTCTCTCTCTCTCTCTCTCTCTCTCTCTCTCTCTCTCTGCCTTTGTCTTTCTGTAACTCTGCCTTTCAAATAAATAAATAATTCTTTTTTAGAAAACATAAAAGAAAGTAAAACAGTAACCTTTAGAATCAGAAAACATTTGCAAATCACATTTACAAGGGACTTGTATCCAGAATGTATCAGGACTGTTATAATCCAACAATAAGGTGACAGGAAACAGGGTTGGCATTGTGGTGTAGCAGCTAAGCCACTGCTTGCAATGCCTGGCATTCCACATCAGAGTGCTGGTTTGAGTCCCAGCTTCCAGTCCAGCTCTGCTAATGTATCTGGGAAGACCGTGGAGGATGGTCCAATTACTTGGGCCCCTGTCACCCACAGGGAAGGCCCAGATGAAGTTCCAGACTGTTGGCTGTGGGCTGGCTCAATACTGGCTTTTGAGGCCATGTGGAGAGTGAACCAGTGGATGGAAGATCGATTTCTCTTTCTCTCTCTCTCTCTCTAACTCTGATTTTCAAATAAATAATTAAATATTTAAAAATAAATAAATAAAAGATGGGGCAAAGATTTGAAGACACTTCTCCAAAGAAGATAAATAGCCCATAAGCAATGCAAAAATCCTCAGCATCACTAGTCAACAGAAACATGTAAATAAAAACCACAATACAATGCCACTTCACACCCATTAGGGTTGCTAAAATAAAAAAAGACAGGTAATGTCATGTGCTGGTGAAGATAAGGAAAAATTGGAAACTCATACCTTGCCAGTGAGGTCGAAAAATGGTACTGCCGATTTGGAAGGCAGTTTGGTAGTTACTGAAAATGTTAGACAGATTCACCATCTGATTCAGCAATTCTACTTCTAAGTATCTAATCAGGTAAATGAAAATATTTGCCTCCATAAAGTTTGTAGAAGTAGCGCTGGCATTGTGCACAGTGGGCTAAGCCGCTCCCTGTGACACCAGCATCCTATATCAGAGTGCTGGATGGAGTCCCTGCTGCTCCATTTCCACTTCAGCTCCTTGTTAATGTGCCTGGGAGTGCAGTGGATGATGGCCCAAGTACTTAGGCTCCTGCCACCCACACGGGAGACCCAGATGGATTTCTGAGTTCCTGGCTTTGGCCTGGTCCAGCCCTGGTAGTTGCAGCCATTTGGAGTGAACTAGTGGATGGAAGATCTCCGTCTCTCCCCTTCTCTATTATCCTGCCTTTCAAATAAATAAATATTTTTTCTTTTAATTGTAAAAGAATGTTCACAACAGTGTTATTCACAAATGCCAAAAAGTAGAAACAACCATCAGTGAATGAATGGATAAACAAAACATGGGATATCCATATAAAGGAGTATCATTTGGTAATAAAAGGAATAAAGTAACAAAACACACTACAATATAAATAAAACTTGTGAACATGGTGAATTTAAAAGGTAAGACACAAAAGGTAATAACCCAGCTTGTGTGATTCCTCCTAAGTGGATTCCTAGCATATGTAAATCCATAGAAATATAAAATTCATGGATTCTAGGGACTGGAAGAGGGAGGAATGGGGAGTGACTGTTAATGGGGACAGGATTTCTTTTGGGAGAGACAAAGATCCTCAAAGACTAGATTTGGAGATTTTTGTGTTCCCTGTGAATACATTAGAACACACTGTATCCACATGCCTCCCATCAACTGAAGTCTAGGTAAAGAAATTATGGGATACGTACACCATGGAATACTACACAGCGGTTAAAAAAATGAAATCTGGTCATGTGCAACAACATGGATGAAGCTGGAAAACATCATACTTAGTGAAATAAGCCAGTCCCAAAGGGACAAATACCACATGTTCTCCCTGACCTGTGGAAACTAACAGAGCACCTAGAAGGTAATCAATAGAAGTGAAATTGACACTTTGAAAAGCAGTGACTTTCAACAACCCTTGTCTGGACTGTTGAGGAATAGTTTTTTTCTTTTCCATACTATTTGTTCAATTCTTTACTTAACATAGAGTTAATCATATGTCTATAAAGTTAATTGAAAATAGATCTTAGTAAAAAATAAGAATGGGGATAGGAGAGGGAGGAGGAAGAGGGGTGGGAGGGCAGGTATGGTGGGAAGAATTACCATGTTCCTAAAGTTGTAATTATGAAATATATTGTTTGTATTCCTTAAATAAAAGGCTTCTGGGAGAAAAAAAAAAGAACATGCTGTATGGTACACTTTAGATGAGCGGGGGTAGGCATTTGGTGTAATGGTTAGGACACCTGCACCCCACGTCAGAGTGCCTGGGTCCCAGCTCCGGACTGCAGCCCTGGCTGGTGCACACCCTGGGAGGCAGTGCTGATGGATCAACTAACTGGGTTCCTGCCACCCACACGGTGCAGCTGAATTGAGTTTCTGGCTTTGACCAGGCCCGGTCCAGCTATTGTAAGCATTTGGGGAGTGAATAAGCAGATGGGCACTCTGTTTCTGTGTCTCAAATACATAAAATAAAATAAAAAAAAGTTTAAAAGTCACAATGGGTGTATTGTATGGTATGTGAATTATACATCAATAAAGATGTTGAGAAAATAGTTACTAATACATATAATAATGCCTCAAGAGAGAAAAAGTGTGGAACACGAGCCACTCAGAAAGCAGGCAAACAGGAAGCTGAAGGGAGGGCTTGGCGGGACCCCCGCGGCGGGGGAGAACCAAGAGGCAGGGGTGCAGGAGCTAGGGAAGGTGTGGGGCTCAGGCCTGCAGAGGAAGCAGGTGCGAAGAGTTCGGCTTGCGTCGCAGACTGGCCAAGGGCCAGTCTTTGGCTGATCTCTGAGAGAAAGCCCCAGAGCCTCAGAGGGGGATTCTATGATGTCAGCAGCTGACCTCTGTGACACGGGGGAGAACTGCCCCTAGGAAACAGGGACCCCAGCTTTCACTGGGGGCGGCAACGCCGCCCCTTGGACAGTCTCCCAGCTTTTCCCAGCTGGCCCCACAGCTGCTGCTGCTGGGCCAGGGCCAGGCTGAGCCAGGGGACATTAGCATTAGGGGGCACACAGGGGCCAGGGAGCCAGAATAGCAGGTACCAGGATGCTGAGTCTCTGAGTCAGGATCAGGAGAACAAACACCTGCGACACAGAAGCCCTGTGCCTGGCTGCAGGACTGAGGACAGGGCCAGACAGATCCAGGCAGCAGTGAGCTGAGGGCGACAGATGACGCTGGGGACAGACAGCAGCACATCCCCTGTTGGGTGACTGGGCTCCTGTCTCCCCCAGGCCCCTCTGTGCTGAAGTGCCTTGTGAAACGCAGCGCGGGGAATCCTCAGAGGTAAGTGCGCACCATACCTTCAATTACTGTCCCCAACCCAGCCCCAAGCCCCTCCTCCAACACCATTCTCCCCTCCCCGCCCCCCCGCCCCCCCCCCGGTCTTCCCTGGCGCATGTCCTGCTCCTCTGATGGGAAAGCTGACATGCATTTACGGCCTTGGTGAGTTCAGCCTGGACCTGGCACACAAGGCAGAGCCAGAAATGAACCAACTGCCCCAACATCTTGAGCTCTTTCTCTTCAGGTCCCATGGGCTGTGTCTTCCTCTGTGCCCCGCCCAGATCACCCCTGCTGCTCCTCGGCTCCCAAGAGGCAGCCCTGAATCGCCATCCACCTACATCCCTCGTCCATAGCTGATGCAAAGAGGCCGAGCCCCAGCCCCAAGCGCCTGCCTGAGCACCCAGAGTTCTGTGCGTCTGCACGGGCGGCCAGCCGCTGAGCCCAGGCCGGGCCACGCTCTGCGCACAGGAGGCGGCTGGATTTCTCCGTCCTAGTTGGCCTCGGGAGAGCCTCATCCTGACTCCGCCAGGTCTCCTGTCCCTGGTCTGCTGCCCCCGGCGCCGTCGGGAGTCGAGGCAATGGTGCCTCAAAAGAAGGACCAGGTGCTGCTACAGAACACAGCGCCCCCTGGGTGCCACCCCCAGCACCTCTCGCAACTCGTGGACTCTCCTCCCTGCAGCCGCCGGCCTGTCTCCCCCCACCAGTCCCAACCCCCGTCCCTGCCACCTTCCACTGGGTCCCAGCCCCCCTTCTCCCCTCCCCCACGAGCCCGTTCTCCGGCCTGCCAATTCTACTCTTCTGACTCAAATTCCGACTTAGCTCTTCATCTCTACTCTTCCTCCCTCCCCAGCTCCCCCACTTTCTTTCACCAGAACTCCCTCTCGGTCCCCCTTCAACACTCCTCCTCTCCCTCGAGCCACTGGCTGTACCCCTCTCCTCCTCTCACACCCTGCTCGGCTCCGTCCCAGCCCCAGAACTCCTCACCCCGCTCACGCTGCCAGTCTCCTTCGAGGCCCGAAGACCTGCCCAGCTCCACCCACCCCTCCCCAAGCCCCAGCAACAGGCAGTCATGTTGCTGGGAACAGTGCCGGGACACCAGGTCCCCCGGGGCTGGGGGGTGCGTGGCAAGCGAGAGGGACCCTGCGGAGTTCAGGGACCCAGGGGCCCTGGCCCAGGCCCTGGTGGTCCACCTGGGGCACCGCCGCATCGCACAAGACCTGCGGCTGTTACTTTTGCAACGCCTGTGGCTAGGCAGAATCGGCCAGGCCCCAGTGGTGGAGTACCCCATATGCCTGGTGTGCCTCCGGCCCCGCAGTCCCTCTTGCCCCACCCCCAGGTACAAGACTGGACCCAAGCTGCTGGCCTTCCCCCAGCTGCTGCCCTGTGCACAGGGCCAGGGATCCGGGCCACTCCAGATAGGAATTGGCTTCGGCCTCCGCCTGCCTCTGGGCCAGGCCAGGGCCCTACATCTGATACCAGAAAGAAGACGGCAGGAAGCAGGGCCCCAGGGCGAGGCCACTCAGGCCCAGCGGAGTCAGGCACCAATGTCTCCAGCCCCGGCCCCAGGCACACCCTCCCAGGCCGGGAGCCACAAGTCTGGAAGCCGTCACTCACCAAACTCCACCCGCCGTCCAGGGCCTCCGCCGCAGGCACCAAAGCAGGCTGCGGCCTCCCGAAAGCCCAGGTGTTCTCCGACTCCAAAGAGGCCTGTCTCTCCAAAGTCCATTCTGCAAAAGTCGCCAGCCGAGCTGCAGAGCCACGGAGGCTCGCCAGAGCACTGCCTCCAAACCCCAGCCACCCCGCTAGGCCCCAGATCTCGGGGAGTCCCCGAGACACCCTGAAAGGCTGGCTGGCCGGAAGTCAGGTGTGTGCTCCTGCCCTGAACCCTGGGAGCCCCTTGTGGAGTCTGCTGTCTCCCGGCTGAGAGGACCAGCCACGCCCAAGGCCCCACGAAGCCAAGGTGCATCCAATAAAACCCGCCCCCGTGCAGCTCCTGGGCTGGTGTCCTGTGTGGCCGGAATTGTGGGGGTGCCAGCCTCAATAGGGCCTTCTGGGACCAACGACTGCAGGGACCATGTATGGGAGGAGCACAAGGAACCCACAGGGCCCAGGGACCCCGACATGCACAGCGGGCCCCCACACTGAATTCAACTCCGTGGGACACACACTGGCATCCCCGTGATTAAGCCACGGAACCCAGCCCTGGTGGGTGGAGGGGGACTTTGGTTAGGGAGGAGGTAGCGGTGTGTCTCCCCACAGAGCTCACTCCCAGAGAAGCAGGGGGTCCTCACACAGCTCAGATCTCTGCAGGCCCCCTTGGGAGGGTGGGATGTCAGGCGCCGAACACACCTGCCAGGCACCCAGCCCGGGGCCGGCCCTGGCCGCCACCGCCGCCAACAGCGGAGCACAGGTGTTCCCTAAGAGTGGCTTCTTCATTCCAGGAGGCAGTGGGGTTGGGGACCGAGTCCAGGTTTGCTTTGAAGTCGAGGCTGCCTCCCGGAAGGGGCGAGAGAGGTTCCCGGAGTGTGCGTGCCCCGGGACAAACCACGTCCTCACTCAGGTAGCACCGGAACCAAGCGCTTGAGGGAGTCGGCGTACCGCTCCCGAAGGGAAGGCGGACCCAATTTAGGGGAAAATCGTTCCTAAAGGCTTGCGGACCTTCCGCAAGCTCTCTAAGCCCCACCTCCTCCACCTCCCTCGCCCGGCACAAAAATGGTGGCGGCGTTCGCCACAAGGGGGCGGTGAAGCGACTCCGCGCGCCGCGTTAGTGCTGACGCGTAGCGCCGTGCTGCGCTTGCGCAGAGAGCGCCACGGGACAGGTGCGCGTGCGCAGTGTGCGTCTGCGAAACCGAGGTAGCCGGACCCGAGCGGAGACACTGGTGTCCACGGGTGGAGTAACCCCGGGAGTGTGAGAGGAGTCTGGAGACCTCCGGGCGGCGACGGGCCCACGTTCAACTGCGGCCAGGGCAGTCGTCGGAGGCCTGGCGCGGCATGCCCTGGGTGCCGCGCTGCGGGCGGTGAACGCGCGGCGAGCGGGATGGGCCGGCGCCGGGCACCGGAGCTGTACCGGGCCCCGTTCCCGTTGTACGCACTTCAGGTGGACGCCGGCGCGGGCCTGCTCATCGCCGCGGGCGGAGGAGGCGCCGCCAAGACAGGCATAAAGAATGGCGTGGTGAGAGCCGAGGGCCGCTGCGGCTGCGTTGCGCCCCGGGGTTAAGGGTCACTCAAGGGAATGGAACCTGGCAAGGCGAGCGCCCGGGCGCGAAATTCACTCGGAAACTTTCTTGGGGGGGTGGGGTTGGGGTGGGGTGGGGGGCTCCTAAGGCCGAGTGAAAACTGCCCCCGGCGCTGCACAAGGGCTGGACCTGCGGAGCCACTCCAGGGGCTGAGCCTGGCCTCGCTCGGGCAGTCCACGTAGCCCGTGTGTCTTTCCCCGGGCAGCAGCGAGAGAGGTGCATTGGGCCTTCAGCCTGGTTCCTTCACCCCTCTGAGATTCACCGTGTTCTGTGACCTGGAGGCAGAAATCCTAGTCCTCTTTGCAGGCTATTTGTGAGGGTCGGAATAAGGGAGGGAAAGGGCTGGAGGAAGCCGTGTGAATCAGGAAGTGCAGTAGACAGAGGAACGTGACATCACACCGCAGGATGTGTTTCCCTCCAGTGCGGCCTCGGCCCCACTGAACCCTGCGCCTGCTTGCCTGTCCCACAGCACTTCCTGCAGCTGGAGCGGATTAACGGGCACCTGAGTGCCTCCTTGCTACACTCCCATGACACTCAGACACGGGCCACCATGAACTTGGCCCTGGCCGGTAACATCCTGGCCGCCGGGCAGGATGCCCACTGTCAGCTCCTGCGCTTCCAGGCCCAACGGCCGCAGAGCAACAGCAAGGCGGAGAAGGCAGGTGAGGAGTCGGGGGGAGGGCCCCGGGGCTCAGATCCTTCTCAGCTAGGTCTCTGAAGAAGCGGGGCTGTATGTGGGCCTGACACGTGGCCAGTGGCCAGGGTCACCAGTAATGGGAGCTTGGAACCTGGTGAGCTGTTTGTTTTGCAGGTCCCAAGGAGCATGGGCCTCGGCAAAGGAAAGGGGCCGCCCCCGCAGAGAAGAAACCCAGAGCAGAAACCCAGCGCGAGGGGGTAGAGCTGCGGGTGGAGAACCTGCAGGCGGTGCAGACGGATTTCGGCCCCGATCCGCTGCAGAAAGCTGTGTGCTTCAGCCACGATCATACCCTGCTGGCCACTGGAGGGACGGACGGCTGCGTTCGCGTCTGGAAGGTGCGCTTGTGGACGGCGCGGGAGGGTGAATGTCAAGGGCAGCGAGGTGAAAATTGGGAAAAGCTGAACGCGGGTGCGGGGTGGGGGAGCGGGGCACGCAGTCTGCGCAGAGTAGCCGTTCGCGGACGCTGAGAACCAGGCCTAACGCTGCTGCTGGCTGCAGGTGCCCAGCCTGGAGAAAACCGAGGAGTTCAAAGCCCACGAAGGAGAGATTGAAGACCTGACTCTAGGGCCGGATGGCAAGGTGAGGAGCTGGAGGGGAGGGGTGGCGGAGAAAAGAGAAAGTAGATGATGGCCCATAAGTGGACCCCGTAACCAGCCACACTAGCCCCTGTATTCCTGACCAGCTGGTAACAGTGGGCTGGGACTTCAAGGCCTGTGTGTGGCAGAAGAATCAGCTGGTGACACAGCTGCACTGGCAAGAGAACGGACCCACCTCATCTAACACGCCCTACCGCTACCAGGCCTGCAGGTGCGGAAGCCCGGGGGGAGGCTGTGCGGTGCACAGTCCCGCTGCCGAGGGGAGGGAGAAAACCTGGGGAGATGGTGGGAGGTGAGGGGCAGTCATGGCCCTGCCAGGGTGAGGGGCAGGCAGGGCCCAGGAGCTGAACAGCCCCTCACCCGGCCCCCAGGTTTGGGCGGGTCCCAGACCAGCCTGCTGGGCTGCGACTATTCACAGTACAGATTCCGCACAAGCGCCTGCGCCAGCCCCCGCCCTGCTACCTCACAGCCTGGGATGGCTCCACCTTCTTGCCCCTGCGCACCAGGTCCTGTGGCCACGAAGTCGTCTCCTGCCTCAGCGTCAGGTGTGGGACAGTGGTGGCTGGGCCGGGTGGGGGTCCTGCCCAGCTCCCCGAGACTTCAGCATTGGCCGGCCTCAGGACAGTGAGCGCTTTGTTCTGTGTTGCAGTGAATCGGGCACCTTCCTGGGCCTGGGCACGGTCACTGGCTCTGTGGCCATCTACATAGCTTTCTCCCTCCAGGTAACGGGTGAAGGAGGGCCCAGCCCTGGGGGAGGAGCACAGGCCGCCCTGAGCCCCAGTGCAGAAGGAGGCGGGCCCAGCCTGTGCAGGGGGCGCCCTGGGGTGGGGGGCTTGTTCCCAGCAGGAAGCTTCCCAGCGGGCCTTCGCTCACCAGTCTCTCCCCACCGCCAGCGCCTCTACTACGTGAGGGAGGCTCACGGCATTGTGGTGACGGACGTGGCCTTTCTGCCCGAGAGGGGTCGCGGTCCAGAGCTGCTCGGGTCTCACGAAACCGCCCTGTTCTCCGTGGCTGTGGACAGTCGTTGCCAGCTGCACCTGCTGCCCTCACGGCGTGAGTCCCTGGGGTGGGGGAGTGCTCCTGGGAGCCGTCCGTGCTCTGCCTGAGCGGAGCAGGGTGAGGATTCCGCGCCCCCTCGGCCCCTGACCTGCTGCCTTACCCCACCCGCAGGGAGCGTTCCTGTGTGGCTGCTGCTCCTGCTGTGTGTTGGACTCATTGTGGTGACCATCCTGCTGCTCCAGAGTGCCTTTCCGGGTTTTCTTTAACCTCCCTGCCTCTGGGGACCAGGGGCCTGGACACTGCCACCTTCCTGAGCAGAGTGGAGGCCTGGGCCCCACTGCTCACCCCACTGGGTCAGCAACTGAGGCGCCTCCCGGGAGACTCTGGAGAGCTGCCCGCCTGTCCCCGCTAGGCCTGGCTGTGACCCTGGGCCACTCCGGGTCCAGGGAGCCACGCACTGGCCGCCTGTGGGTCACCAGGACGCGATGTCCGACTGTCAGGTCGCGCTGTGTGCCTCGTGCCCTCAGCCTGCCAGAGGCTCCAGAGTCGAGCTTGTCCCTGCTCCAGAAACACAGGGAGAAGCCCGAGGGCCTGGGGCGCTGCCGTCCTTTGTGCCTGAGCAGTTTCCCTTCCTCCCCGGGGCCTCGTGGCCGGATGCCCTTCTCCTAGAGCCCCAGGCATTTGCTGGGGGGAGGGGGGACTGGCCTGGTTCTTCTGCTGTTAGCGCAGGAAGGGTGAAAGAAGGCTCGGGCGGTGCCGCGGGGTTCAGGTGGGCAGCACCGGGGCACTGGGCTAAATGGGCAGCAAGTCCCTGCGTGGACTGCCCTGAGGGCAGGGAAGATGAACCTTGATCACTCGGCAGGAAAGTTGACGTTTAATAAAAAGGGAAGACTGAACTGAGCCCGAACGGAAGTCTCTGTCAGCTTGTTCCGCCCCCTGCAGGTGAGGGAGCCCTGAGGTGCGGCAGCTCTGCCCGGTGCTGGAAGATGGCTCTGGCGTAGTCGTGCAGCAGGCGGCTCATGTAGCAGTGCTGCCAGGGGAGCAGCCCTTCCAGGAAGCCGATGTGGCCACCCCGCGCCGTGACGAGCAGTGCCACGTGGCGGGAGAGCCGGGCAGCCTGGAGGGGGAGGGCTGGGAGGCACAGCGGAGGTCGGCAGCCCTGCCGTGCCTGGAAGCCCACACATGTCGGCCCATCTTCCTTTGGCCCAAGTGTTGTGATTCCGGGTGCTCACCTTGGACTGGGGAGAAGGGGTCGTCTGCTGCATTGAGGCAGAGCACAGGGGTCTGGATAGCGTCCACCTTGGTTCTTGGACTCGCTGCTTGGTAGTAGGCAACACAGTCTTCGTAACCAAAGACCACAGAAGTGTAGCGCTCGTCAAATTGGCGGATTGTGCGGGCCTGCAGTGGAAGAGGTTAGACAAGCTAAGAAACATGGAGGCTGGGAAGGTAATGGGCGACAGGCTACAGCCGAGTGAGATGGATAAAGCATTGTACCTTTAGCACAAAGTCTACGTCCACCGCTTTCTCCATCACACTTCTGTTTCTGGAAAAGAATATAATGGTTTGACTGAACGACTACAACTGACCCAACGCCCTCCAGCTTCTGTCTTACCTCATGTGAGCCAGCCTGGAGTCAGGAGGGCAGGGGAGCTGTCCATCATGACTGCCATCCTACCCTCACTGCGCCCTTCCCACGTGCCAAGACCCTACCTGTCCACAAACTGGCAGAGCCCTGCAGTGAGGGGCTGATTGAAGAGCAGTAAGTTGAGTGGGGTCTCCAGGGAGCGGGTGGTCTCAAAGGAATCCCAGCATGCAGACAGGGTCAGTCCCGCCACCAGCCCAGCAGCCGGCCCGGTGCGGGCCAGGTAGTTCAGCACCAGTATCCTGCAGGGTTAGACCAGAGGCCGTGAAGGAGGGCTTTGCCTGGGCCAGCTGGGACGCCGGAGGAGAGGAACAAAGGAAGAGCAGGCCACATGTGGACGCGGGCAGCCTTTACCCTCCGAAAGAGATGCCCACGGCCAGCAGGGGAGCCTGGGGGTAGTGGCGCTTTATGTGCTTCACGACCGTCTCCAGGTCTTCAGTGTTGCTGGCACAGTAAGCCCTGTGGGTCTGAGGGCAAACCGGGTTATCGGGTGGAGGGGGCAGCCAGGGCCGAGGTCCCTGGAGGGAGTGGGGGCGGGGGACACTCACCAGCAGTTCTTCCCCACGGCAGCCCCGGTTGTTAAAGACAACAGCCCTGTGGCACACAGGGTGAGGCTTAGGCAGGCCCGATGCCCTTGAGGTCTTAGGCCCTGCCAAAGCCTGCCCCTCCCCACCAGGCCCTGGCAAATCCCCGGCACAGCTGCTCAGGCCCCTCCTGCTGCTTCTGGGCTGTGCCCCCGTACCTGTAGCCGTCGCCCAGCGCCTGGTTGACCAGGTGCAGGATGTAGTTCTCCTGGCTGCTGCCAGTGATGCCAGGAAGTAGCAGCACGATGGGCTGCGCGGCAGGCTCTGGGCGCTGACCGCTGTCGGGCTGCTCGGCCCAGTCCAGCAGCAGCTGGCCGCCGTCTGGGGTCGGGAGGACTTCGCTGTGGTTGGGGATGGGGACGCACAAAGATACTGGTAAGACCTGGATGCGCCACTTCAAAGCTTCATCCCCACTCCACCCACTGACAGGTGTGACAGCTTCCGCCAGCGTCCGTGTTGCTGAGGGCGTGCTTGATGGAACAGGAAGGTTGGCCCGGGTGGAACGGGGACAGAGAGATGGGCTGTGACCTGGGGCTGCAGGAGCTCCCAGCCCTTCCCCGTGCCCACTGCCCTGCTGCCATCAGCACACGGGTCTGGGGGTGGAGATGACCTCTAACAAGAGGCAGAGGAGTTTTCCTCACTACTTCGGGCTCCACCTCCACCCTGTTCTCTTGTTCCCTGCTTACCTCCGGTAAGGGACTGGGGGCAGAGGCTGCAAGAAGACTCGGAGGATGGATTGCAGCCGGCCCTCAAAGCACCACAGCGTGGGGAAGAAAGTCTCCGTGGTCACTGGACAGTGTTGCTCCAGGAAGGCCAGGAACTGGGGCCCAGTCACCAGCTGCGGCCTCTGTAACCGCACAGGACAGCCCGCCATACACACTGACTCGGCACCAAGCCAGTGAGTGCCCCAGTCCCGGAGGCCGAGTGGACCCTGCTGGTATCTGGAGGATTCTGCTTTGGTGGTGGGATGGCCAGCACAGCTCTGCCTGGAAAGGACAACTCACCTCTGATGCAGACCAGCAAGACCCCCTGCCCTGCAGTGTCCCCCCTTTCAGAACTGACTGCACTGCTGACTGGACGGGGGGCTGTTGCAGCTGCCTCCTGCTTTCTCGTGGGCAGTGAACACTCAGCAGTGCGCACAGGAGCCCCTGCTGTTGGGACTGGGCACTCGGCAGGGGCTGAATAAGTACAGCACCATTCAGTCTGTGAACATTCAGTGGACCCTGCAGTGAGTCACACACTGTCATCCTCTTGAGCCTGGCTGTGGCCATCTGGTCCCTCCTGACTGTAGCCCCCAGGCCTGCAAGCCCCCTCAGTCTCTGATGCACTCCCTGCTGGCAGGCTCTTACTTACTGCAGGCACCTGCTGCTGGCCCCGCTCTGAGGGAGGAATAGTAGATTTTGATGCTTATTCAACCAAGGGCAAGGTTATGGATTGGATGACGGGGCAGATGAGGTCAGTGGGCTCTGAGCCCTGACTTTCCACTTCTGCTTGCAAAAGTCCTCGGGCCGAGTCCCAGCACCTGCCTTTCTGTAGCTGGCCCTGGGGAACTTCAACACCAGACCCTGTCCTTGAAGGGGCCCGGGCCCATGCTCATCTGGAGAGGCCAGGCTGATAGTGTGACCCTGGGGCCTGGGCCCTGAGCCTCCAAACACCACGTGGTGTTGCCATGGTGTGCTACATGCAGGACCTGAGCTTACCGCTACCTTGTAGGATATAAATGAAGAGGTTGAGTGGGGTGCTCCAAGTCACACAACAAGGAAGAGAAAAGTGAAATTCCCAGTTTCATCACCATGAACACGTGGTGCCAATTGTTGAGGGCTCCCTACGTCGCAGGCTGAGTGCCTTCCACTCTCCGTGACTAACTTCAGAGTTCATGGCATTCTGTGAGATCCATACTGCCACCCCCTGCCCCCTGCACACAAGTTTGTGTGTTGAGTAAGTTGCCAAAGGTCACGAAGCTCACCACAGCTGGTTAGTGCAGAGCTGCAGGTGCAAACCCAGGTCTGTCTGCCTCTAGAGCCTGCCACGTCTACTCACTATGCAAGATTTTCTGCCAAGATTTAGAGTTGCTATCAATGCATTCAAACCTTGGTCAAACAGCTCAGTAGAGAACAGCAAGGCTAATCGTGTCTGAATTGAAGAAACCATGGTATTTCTTGACTGACCCTGAGAATTAACAACGTCATGCCCTGGAGAAAGCAGAATGAGTCCAATCCCGTACTGGATGGTTCAGATAATCTGGACTCTGTCCTCAGAGCCTCCACCAGCGCACTTTGCTGGCAATGGAACCTGATTCTGCATGCGGAGAAGGTGTTTGGGGTGTGAGTGGCAGGGGCTCTGCCTTCCCAGTGGCTGGTTGCAAGCAACAGAAAAAGTCTGTGTAAATTGGAACTTCTGCAGTGACTGACTTTCCCAGCTGATGTAGCAGTGCCAGTGCTGTGGCATAGTGGGTGAGGCCGCCGCCTGTGGTGGCGGCATCCCAAGTGGGCGCCGGTTTGAGTCTCAGCTCCTCCACTTCTGATCCAGCTCTCGGCCTTGGCCTGGGAGGGCAGTGGAGGATAGCCCAGCAGAAGCTCCTGGCTCCTGGCTTTGGATCAGCCCAGCTCTGGCCATTGCAGCCATCTGGGGAGTGAACCATTGGATGGAAGACCTCTCTCTCTCTCTCTCTCTCTCTCTCTCTCTCTGCCTGTGCCTCTCTGTAACTCTGCCTTTCAAATAAATAAATAAATCTTTTAAAAAATGAGGCAGAGGCTGGCGCCGCGGCTCACTAGGCTAATCCTCCGCCTTGCAGCGCCGGCACACCAGGTTCTAGTCCCGGTCGGGGCTCCGGATTCTGTCCCGGTTGCCCCTCTTCCAGGCCAGCTCTCTGCTGTGGCCAGGGAGTGCAGTGGAGGATAGCCCAAGTGCTTGGGCCCTGCACCCCATGGGAGACCAGGATAAGTACCTGGCTCCTGCCATCGGATCAGCGCGGTGCAGCATGCCAGCCGCGGCGGCCATTGGAGGGTGAACCAACAGCAAAAGGAAGACCTTTCTCTCTGTCTCTCTCTCCCACTGCCACTCTGCCTGTAAAAAAAAAAAAAAAAAAAAAAAAAAAAAAAAAAGAGGCAGAGTCCACCAAAGTTTGCATTCTACGACTAGTTAAGCCAGACTTATTTTATTCACAAGGCAGGCTCCTGTAGGAAGCTCTGCCAATACTGCTAAGGCAATAGCACTGAGGTTTCCTATAGGCCTTTTTCAAGCACTAGAGCTGATAGGTTTACTGTTAGACTGAGCTGCCTGGAACAGTTTCTTGAACGTGAGTAAAGCACTTTTTCTGACTATGTCAATGAAATATTTTATCGAAGACTTGGTGAGAAAATCAAGTTCATGCTAATCAACCTCTTGAGAAACACTGGAGAGCCCAGAACTTCCAACAGGGCTCCCTGAGCCAGGGGGTGGGGTTCCCGGCAGTCCTGACTAAGCGGGGACCTTCAGAGAGAGGCACTAAGCGATGGGAGTGGTGGTGGCAGGTGGCACAGCCCTTCAAGGTTCCCTCATTCTGTAAGCTGATGGGAAGTCAGCCAGAGCACCTGCAAAGGAAAGGAGAGCGGCCGGCGCTCACCCGTCCACCTGTCGGACACCTCAGGACTCCACCTTTCCCCAAATGTTGGTCCGCGTGGTGGGGAGCAGCGCGTTTGC